AGAGGCAGATGATGATAATGAAACATTATTATGATGATGACGAGTAGAACAAGCAGAAGAAGATGAAACAAGTAAAGTACTACGACTAACACTGCTTGATGAGGGTAATATTGATGGTGATTGAGATTTTCTTTTGATCTTAAACATGATGAACGTACGATAATAACAAATAGACAAGGACAACGGATTGAACAATACAATGAAAACAAAAATTTGATGACAATGTATATGTGATCACTAAAAATAGAATTATTATAATATATATATACCTTATAAGAATAAATTTAATGAAACTATGAATAATTTTTCTCTGTTCGTTGTCAAAAATTAGAAAAGCAATATCTTTATTAATTCATAATTGAATTTATTAAAAGCAATCAAATAAAAATTTTCTCTCAATATATATATATATATATTTATATATTTTTTTTCTTTTTATATGATTAATTAACGACACTTACTTGTAGATATAAGTTATATCAATAGAAAAAAAATATAAAGCCATTCAAATACCAAGAATTTATATATATATATATGTAGTGCTTCTTTTTTTTTTTATTTTTGTTATCTTTAATCATTTAGAATAAAAACAAAAGGCATCCACTCAACTAAGATTAATACTTGTATTTCGTTTCTCTTTTCAGCATAAAAAAAAAAAAAAATTGTTGTCATAACTAATATGGAACACTTATACGACACATCCCATTTCTTGCTAGGGAGTTTCTCATATGCATCTATGTAAATCGTACTTGATGTGGTTGATGATGTACTCGTGATGATGATGGCGTATATGTGCTATTTCATGCATTGTCAATGCCAACTGTTTTCCATAAACAATCCAACAAAGTTATATGAAATGCTTTCAATTCAAATATATTGAGACGAACTTTTGATGAATAAATAAACGTTTCCATAATATGATGTATGGAAATATTATTCAAACAAAATATCCTTTTTTTAAATGACAAGCTAATATATATAAGCGCATCAATATTTATATATATTTACACGTGTTAGTGATCTTTAACAAAAGAAGAAAAAAAAGGATAGAATCTAAGAATAACAATCTATCTGGTAGTTTTATTTTTGTACACATAATGTTAATATCATCAGTCATAAGACAACAGCGACAAAAGACTTGATATATTGTCGATATTTGCAAATTTGTTCGGTGGCCAAAAGCACACATACAGTTCCAACGATAAGATGATAATCAAGCAAACATGTGTGTATGTATTTGCCCGCCAGTACCACCATAGACAAGAGCAAATAAAGGAAAACTAAATTGGATTAACGTCACATAATCTCAAAGTCCTTAGGTCGAAGAGTTTTTATTTTTTTTTGTTTTTTTATATTTTTATTGCATTACTTATTGATAGATACAACGATGAAAATCAGAATAATAAATGAGCTACTTCTAAATGAGATCGGGAGTTGATTGTTCGATAGGGAAAAATATTAAAGTTTACTATGCTAGAATAAATATTGATCGAATTGCAATTGCACGATCGTCTAGTTGAACATAACACCCACACAATGATTATCACGAGGACAATATGTCATTGTTTTCTCAATTTTCGACATCAAATAATACAAAACAACAATAATAAAGAAAGAAAGAAAGAAAAAAAAAATAATAGTTTCTTTACTACTAACATCTTATGTTGAGTATCAGATAATAATTAAAGATAAATAATAATAAAAAATAATTATAGAATATATTCAATATTACTTACTTTTTTTCTTAATTGGTTAAGATAAGAAAGTCGATGATCAATCTGCAATTGTATGATAAATATTGAATATAACAAAAACAAAAACGAACGATAAATTGATTAAGATCTCTTCTCTTTATATGTGTATATATATATATATCTATATATATATAAATATATCTTTTTTTTTGTTCTGTATGTTGATTTCCGATCTACGTCAAACTAAGAAGTTTGTACCAAGATAATTTATCTATTGATTTCTTGAGATGATTCTCAATTAAAATAAATGAAATATTTTTGTTTTTGTCTTTCGTAAAGAATTGTTGTTATAATAAATAAATATATATATATATATAAATGTATAGGTGATTTAGACAATTTGTATTTTTTTATATTAATAATGTTTACCGAAAACGTATTCGACTTCCGAGTAGCAATGAGAAAGAAGAGAAGCGATCTATTTAACTACTACTTTCCTGGTAATAACGACAATAGGGTGCAGTAGTAATACAGAAACTTGAAGCGACACGTCGACAAAGAAAGAGAAGAACTTATGACGTCTATAAGAATAATCGGTCGTGTCATAGTGTATTTATGTGTGCGTGCATTTTCCGAAAAGAAAGAGAGAAGAGATAGGAGAGAAAGAGAAAGAGAAAGAGATAGGGTAGAAAATAGAGCAATACAGAGAGGAAAATCTAATGTTCACTCAAAAGAGTAATGATTGATTGCCGAAACGAAAATATCCTGCGACAGTCAATCATTTAGCTAAGTAGCATTTATGAGTAGAGAAAACAAGGAATAAAATGCAAATGCAATTTTTCTACATCACTTGCTTGATTTTTAAAGAATGCCAATTACCTGTTGTTCATTGTGTTCTCCTCCTCGTCTTCCTCTTTCTATCTCTCTCGCTTTTTTACTTTCCCCTCAATAACGGAAATTAAATCAATGTCATAACTCTCAATGTCTCCTTGCTCGTATGTTCCCTTGGAACATACCACTAAAAACTATAAAAGACAAAAAAAAAATCAAGCTTGCATCTCAAAAAAATCAGTGCATTTGTCCAAGGCAAGGACAAGAAACACCAAGACATGTGTTTCAGATGACAAAGACAAAAGCAACAAAAAAGGCGGAGAAAATTAGAATACGAAGATGATAGAAAATCTTCATTGCCTCATACAATTATCAAGCCTATATATCTTTAGATTTCTATCATTCTTTTCAATTAGCCGTACCGGTCTTTTATTTTTCTGATTGACATTGACAAAAGGCTTGTTTTACATATACTAGTGTATCACCAGGCTAATCGATCATTATTACTGTAACTTTAACAATACCATGTTACAATATATTTATAGAATCGATATAACGAACAACAATAGAATACTCAGATAAGGATGTTATAATTGTTTAAATAGTAAATATCTTACCTATTCAATTTGACTATCATTGTATAGTACGCCTTTCGAAAATCATTATGTATTATTATTATTATTTATAATAGAATTGAATTTCTATCAGAGGTAATCGTTTATTTATTTGCTTGGTTTATTACATGATAATAATAAGTATTGTATTGCGATATACAACGAATAATCAATATATATTATAGAACATGCTTTTAAACGACTAGCCTAATTGTAAAATAATCGGTCATTGTAATATTTCTATCTACGAATTGTTGTACTCTTGATTAAAAAAACAAAGAAACAAATAAATAAGAAAAACAACATGAGAAGAAAAAAACCTATATAACTCTTAAGTGACATAGCACATATTTTGGTGTCGACAGATAATAGGCCAGTACGATATTTATCACTAAAAAGTATTATTATTATTATTATTCTTTTTTTCTCCTTCTTAACTTTGCTCTAGTCTCCAAAGCCCACGTTTTTTTTGTCTTCTTTTTCTTGTTTTTTTTTTCTTTTATAAAAGAAGTTCTTATATTATTACCATAGAAGACGTATGATAATGAATCGTCATGCTCAACAAACTTTGTTTTTATTATTTTTTTGACAACATTATAGTGGAATTCATCAATGAAGCGAAGAAAATTTGTGTGTATGACATTCCATATACACACTACAAACAAAGTTGTTTTTTATGGTTTTATCCATCCATCTAAATTCTAATGCAAAATTTGTCGGAATATGTAATTTGAGATGACGATATACTAATATTGTTTTGATCGATGAATGTATTATTGACACATATATCGATATTTGTCGAAAAATGTAAATCTATGTTTAATTCATAGTTCACATTTTTCTTATTAAACAGAAAACTCCTTAAACTTATAATTTTAAAATATAATTATATTGTCTATTAAGCATTCAATCGATAATAAAAACAAAAGACTAAAAAGTTTATTGAGTATTTATCAATAATTATTCTTGTCTTATTTTCTTTCTATTGACGATAAACTTGTATACACACACTATGTGGGAGCTAATTGGAAACTGTAGGAAAGAGAATAGAAAGATGCGAAATATTATGATCATACTACTCAATGAATCAGTATTAGGATAATGATGACATTCAAGACCAATATATCATCAGTCGTTTCTTTGATCTCATTATCATGAAGAGTATATGGCATTACATTTTTTTGTTGTTTCTTTATTAGATCAGACAAACAAACCGAGCATAAACATAGATATATATCGAATGAAAAGAAAAAGAAAAGAAAAGAAATATGATGACAACAACAAATAAGTAAATAATCAAATGTCCACGCTTGAAAATCAAGACAAGCAGAAAAAGAAAAAGAGAAACCAATGTAAATATTAGATTTATATCGATCTTAGGTTTTTGTTTTTGTTTTTTTTCTTTCATTTTACCTATTGAGAAAAAAAAAACCGAGAAAAATTTTCCATCTTCATATTTAGTAAAAGTCAAAAAAAAAGAAAAAAAAATTATATATAAGTAAACAAAATCGTAGCATAGTGAGTAGAAGAAAAGAAAAAAGTAGAGAAACCAGAGCAAAAAATGAAAAAAGAAAAGCTAAAGAGAAAAAGAATTAATGACCATAAATAATAATAATAATAGTCTAGTATTTAGCTAGTACTATTTTATTTCATTTAATAATTTTGTAGAAGGTCATTTCATTTTATATAAATTGCCATCATCTTCTTTCTCGTCATGCACTAGCATGACCATGTTGTTGTTATTGTTTTTTTTGATTTTTATTTTGCTCGGTCGGCAATCATTTGCCATTCAGATTAGTATTAAGTATTGCTTTTTCTTACCATATTTGTCCTTTTTAATGGACATTTATTATCAATTGATTCATGTTAATAAACGACTAAAATCAGCCCACTATAAAAAACAAAAAAAAAAAATAATATTTATTTTTGTTAGGTATATATTTTCTTACTTGACTTGATTTTGTAATTAAATCCCAAATACGTGAAGCATGTGTTAACCATGCACGTTGTGTTTGACATTGTTCAATATGTGGACGATCAATAGCAAGTAATTGTTGTCGAAGTTGTCGAACAATTGAATCAGCATTTGAAAAACCAAGAAAACGTGATTGCCAATGTGATGAATGTGAATCACGAAAATCTCGTCGTGGAATAAATATTGTATTTACATAATCATAATTTATTTCTAAAATGAGAGAAAATTTTATTTTTTGAAAAACAAAAAAAAAATTATACAAACGTTTATCATCTAAATCTTGATCATTATCATTTGTTAGATCAATTTCCTAGAATAATTTATTTATAATAATAAATTGATTAGATATGAATAAACTATGTATATAAACTTAAATAATCGGTAAACTTTAATTTTTATTTTTTGATCATATTTTGAATTACAACTAGATGAAAACTCTAATTCATGACATGTAATAGATTAATAGTTGATAATAAAATATTTTTTTTGTCTTTAAGTCTCAAAATAATTTTCAAGGGAAGTTCCCTCCAACTGACTAATCGCTGTTTAAGCCGGAAGCTTATACATCATGTAAATCCTAATGGATTATGAATACCTTGAAAAAAAAAAACAAGTTCATGGTCTTAACTTATTGTGATAGACATACTGCACTTTTACGATACAATGCTATGGTCCTTCTCAGAAAATTTTTGGAATTTAGATTCAAAATTTTGCATAGAAATAAGTCATTATGAGAATAGTTAAGTGTGAAAGTATCAGACTATTTGATTTGTTCGTGTTCTCGAATAAGAACATGAAATCTACAGGTATATGCGATCGACGTAAAAGTTAAACTTTTAGTATGGTTATAATCTCGAGATAGAAACAACGAAAATATCTGTGTCTCCATAGCAATAAACTAACAACACGAACTCTTTTCAAAGTATTCATAACTTATTTGACTTTGCATAATGCATATAGTTTCAATTTAAAAGCGATTAAATTATTCGTAAATAGAATATTCAGATTTTATGTCTATGAGCAAAATCATTCTTTAGCAACGTTATGGAGTACTGTTAAAACTGAATAAAAAGTTCAAAAGCATTTCTAAACGGTATAAATCCTTTTTCAGAATTTCTAAATGATCGTAAGACAGATATTTTATTTAGAATTTCTAGAAAATCGAGTTTTTGAGTTTTATCATAGATGCGATTCGTGTCGTAGAGTCTATCCTCAAGGAGAAGACTATCTTTTTATTTGCATCAATATTGAATAAACATTCTTATATATAATTTATGTATGACAGATGGCGCTAGCTTACATAATCTGTCACGTGCTTTTAAAAACTTCACTTAAATATATAATATGTCATTGTTCAGTTAGGAAAATTGAAACTATTTCTACGTGGTTCAAAATATAATCAATATATTTTTTTTTACTATTTTAAAGGGCCTAAAATCAGGAATAAACTTTTATCCGGCGAGAGTTCTGTTTTAAGAAAAGCTAAATTTAATGTCGTGCAGTGACATTTTTTTTTGCTTATTTTAACACCCAAGCCAACGATTCTAGAGCTCAGACCCGTAGATTTCTGGTCAATGGATTCCTGTTTACAAGTTCCTACTATTTCCCAACCGTGCGTCATTCACTTCGATGTAATATGCTCATAAAAAATGAATGAAGACCATAAATAAACCGAAAATCCGCTGTATCGAACTGAAATTTTTATCAGAAGCGTGTTTTCTCACTAGAAGCACTTATTTCTGAAAATTTCAACCTAAATAGTCTATTGTAAAGCGAAATCTCCTTAATATTTAATTTACTTTATTTGTTTCATCATATTCTTCATGATTATTATTATTATTATCATCATCAATTAATTTTGTTTGTTGTAATAATTTAATTAATAAATTTTCATTTAATTCTTGTTGTTTTAAATCTGTAACAATATGTTTTAAATTTGTTTGTATTTTAATTTTATTTGTTTGTTTTAATGATGAATATATACGAAATTGTGTATCCATCATCATTTGTACTAATGAACGTTTTATTAATAAACGTTCTTGTGGTGATATATAATTATTACATTTATTTAATATAAAAACAATATGTGGTGAATGTGGTTTAATTATTTCATTTGTATTACGTTTTAATATAGGTCGTAATATATCAGCTAATTGTAATAAACGATATAAATATGGATCAGAAAATTGATCTTCAACAATTAAAACAATATGACAAACAGATAATATAAATGCAATTATTTCTAATGTTTGTAATTCAAGTATATTATCAACAAACATTGCTCGTGGATCAATTTGTTGTTGCCAAAAATGTGGTGTCGATATTGTTTGTTGTTGTTGTTGTTGTTGTGAACGAGAATAATCATTTGCTGATTGTAATATTTGTTGTTGATGTAATTGTGAACTTAATAATGGTTGTGTATCAAGTAATATTGTTTGTTCATTTGTTATATATATATCAATACCATGTGTTATTTTATGTGAATTTGATGATGCTGCTGGAAATATCATTAAACGATCTTCATCAATAAATTGATTACCACCTAATAATGAAAGTAATGTTGATTTACCAACTTTTTCTCTACCAATTGCACCAATAACAACAAAACCATCAGAATCTTGTAAATAATTATTTAATTGTCCATTTTCACACCATGTTAATGTATCATCAATTAATTTTAATGATGTTTTCATTGTCATTGATGATGAAAGTAAACGTGTATTTATTGATTGAATATGTTGTTCATGTTGTAATTGTGTTAATAATGGTGTTGAAATTGTTGATGTTGTACGTGTTAAATTTATTGGTCCATTTGATCGATGAACAATTGGAGGTGTTGATAAATTTGATGGTATATTAACTGAAGGAATTGTTGTTGTCGGTATAGATGAAGATACAGCAGGAGTTGATATTGGTGTAGATGGACTTGGTACAGGTGGTGAAACATTAACTGGTGCTTTTGCTGATGATAAAATTATAGGTACTGGTGACTGTTGTACGACCACTTGCTGGAAAAAGAAAACAAAAACAAGTATATCAATGATCTGTTATTGATAATTTTAATATTGTTACACATATGTGGAATTAAGAATATAGAAGAGCTCGTCGGATTGGTTCCGGATCCGACGGACTTTAGTCGTTGGAGGAATGTATAGCGTGTGATTGTCAAGTATCTCGTATCTTCGGGATGACTATTCAATTTCGATTAGGAAATTTCAATCTATTGGATTCGGCTCTGAGAAACTTTTTTTTGTTCTACTTGTTTATGAGAATATCTTGCTAATGTTTCTCTTCTTTATGAATTTATATAATAATGTTTTTTTTTTGTTTATTCTTCGACTCTAATGCAGAGAGAGCCTATCGAGTCCAAAATTTTCGCACACGGACCCAGTTTATTAACCGTTTTTAGAACCCAGACCAACCCGATAGGTTCTAACTCCGACAGAAAATACTGACGGAAAAAAGACTTTATTAAGAAATAACGATATTACTGTAAGACCCAGATATATTTAAGATTGTGTACAAAATTTCAGACTTCTAATTCCTCTGATTTATTGTAGGCTATCGTTTCTTTTATACTAATGAGACACGTTAATTGATCATATTTTGTATATCAATTTTCAATCCCTTAATGAAGTGTATTAAAAAAAAAAAGAATACATCACAAATTGTAGCTTGAAAAGCTCTACAATCTGTGTAAACGACAAAAAAGAAATTTCTTGTTCGGCAGCGTCAAAAAGACATAATCGAAAAATCATAAATTTTTCCTCACTCTGAAAACACTATAAAATGAAAGTATCTCAATAGTATATCACTACTCTGATATTGGTTTTCAAAAATCTCGTTCCTTTTAATGATAAAAACTTTAGAAATCTCAGATATTCTCGTGTTTTCTTGAGAAAATATCAAACAATTGCGATTAATTAAGGCAATTATAATTTTTTGAAAAATACTCTTTAAATATTTTGCCTTAATTAATCGTAATTGTCTGATATTTTCTCAAGAAAACACGAGATCTTTAAAAATCAATATCAGAGTAAGGAAAAATTTATGATTTTGCGATCATATCCTTTCGACGCTGCATCTTGCGATGTATTTTGTTTAATACACCTTATTAAAGGATTGAAAATTAATATACAAAACGCGACTATCCAATCCGTTATGTATTATATTGGAAATCGCATGGTAAACTACAATAAAGCATAAAATTGAAATTTTGCGATTATAGCAGTATAATTAGTTTTTAGATAAACAAAATTCGCTTGAAATAGAATAGTTCAATGTATTTAAATCTGAACTATTTGATGGTTAATGATCCTTGCAAATGAAAAATTGTTCTGACTTCATTGTTGTGTAATGTACGGATGTAAGATTTTGCGTCAATGTTTGTTTGATTTTCATTTTGCTTGAGATCAAAAGAAATAAAACGAAATTATTTTATCCGATTCAATTTTTCGTGTTGATTTCAAATCTACTATTATAATTAAAATCAAGAGAGTGTTTTAATACAGCAGAGTACTTTGTCCTGCTCTGCTCTAGTGAAGTTTTCTGTTATAGAAAAAAAAAAGCTTCACTTTTTTAATAGCAAATCTAAACATCAATCAGTTTCATTTTTTTTTTTTTATCAAAAAACATTTGTTTGAATTTGACTGAAAGACTATTCTGGGAATAATCAAATATCTCTTAATCGTAAATAATCATCAGTGTTGAATTCATTGCGAAATTTTGTATTCTTAAATTTCACAACATTGAAATCAGAACAATCTTTCGTCTTCAAATACTATTAATTATCGAATTTATAATTTTTATACTTTATAACTTGTTGATTTTATTTGTTGTTGTTGTTGTTGTATATTTTCTTTTGATTGATTATCATCTTTATTTATAATTGTTGTTCCAGATGGATCACCACGTTTTAAAATAGCAACTGGTTTAAATTCTTGTTTAGGTGTTGATTGTTGTTGTTGATAATTATGACGTTGTTGTCCATTATTATCATTATTTTTAGTATTATATTTTTGTCTGGCTGTAAAGCCATTTTGTCTTTGTTGATATTGTTGATTCATCCGCATGACCACGTAAGATCAATTGAAAGCATTTTTTTTTCCAACAAATCTTTCAAAAAAAGAAAATAAAATAAAAAATACACACATACACTCAGTCAAACACGATTGTGTAAGTATATATGATGAAGGAAAAAAAAAACACACACACACACACAATAGACAGAAAGACAGGTATATAACCTAGATATAATGATTATTTCAATGAGATTTATAACCAATAAAAAAATATATATTTCTTTATTTTAATAATGAATAAAATTCTTTTTTTGTTCAAGAAAATTTACAAAGAAAATTTTTCGATAGATGTCGTTAGATTAGATTTGTTTTTATTTGACAGACAACATGTATTTATGATTCATCAAGTTTATATATCTATATATTTTTTTTTTGTTCTCTATTATGTATCGAAATAAAATACATATATATATATTTTTTTTAATTTGAAATATAATCTTATCATTTTTTATGTATGGATAAGAGTACGGATTTTACCTAAGGAACTCTAAATATTTCTATTTTATATCAATGATATGATAACTATCATATAGAGGTCTATATGATAGTTTTTCGATTCTTTTCCAGATCGACGACACCCTATACACACTAATTGACAGGACATATCAAGCCACGCCGATGTGGAGTATTAAAGAGTGTTAATGTCACTAATTTGTAGAAGGACGTCCTCACCCAAGCGACCTTCGGTTGAGTGCGAATTCGAAATTTTTCTCATGACTTGACCCGAAGTTCGAAAATTTTGCGATCAATGGATTCGAGTCCGACGGGCTCTCGGTTTAAATGAAATCAATCATAGAAATCTATTGTGATTTAATTATGTTTTTTTTTTTTATTTCTCTAGATAAAATGTCTTCAGATCTTGAACTTGATCAATTCAATGATAATAATATAGGAATTGATGATATTGATATAAATTCAAATATACAAAATCATAATCAAAATCAAGCTGAAAAACGTGCACATCATAATGCACTTGAAAGAAAAAGACGTGATCATATAAAAGGTAGTTTTAATGATTTACGTGATGTTATTCCATTATTGAAAGGTGAAAAGGTATTTGAAATAATGAATAAATAAAAACAAAAAATATTTTGAATTTTTTTGAAGGCATCTCGTGCTCATATTCTTAAATCTGCTACTGAATATATTCAATCATTAAAAACAAAAACTCAACAACATCAAAAAATAATTGAAGATCTTAAACGACAAAATGCAATACTTGAATTTCAAAGTACAAAAAGAAGAATTTTGTTTGTTTAAAAAAAAAATTTTTTTTTCTTATATTTTTTTAGCACGTCTTGTTGAACGAGTGAAAGAAACAAGTTTATATGCTCGAAATCATGAAAAAACTATTAAAACTGAACCTGATATTCAAACAACACGTAATTTATTAAATTAACTCTTTTTTTTTTTTTGTTATTCTCGTTTTGTTTTTAAAGATTTCTTTGTTTTATTGTGCCATGTATAAAAGTGTTTTGGTTTTCATTTTTTTTTTTGAAAATTATTTTCTAGATGAATATTAATTTTAAAGAAGAACTTAAAACAACATTAACAAATTGTGAAGATCCATTTCGTGCTATAAAAGATATACAAGATGAAAATGGTATTGCATTAACACAAATAAGACCAGCTTTACCATTACTTGATTTACTTGAAGTTAAACGATTAGATTTTCATCTTGCTGTTCTTGATGATATGAAAGATAGATTAATAAAACGTATACAAGAATTAGCACAACATGATGATAAAGAACAATTAGAAACTTTATTAGAAAAAAGTTTTGCAGTTATTAATTTAACACATGTTACACCAATTGTTATGGAAATTGTTAAACATATGCCAAAAATACCGGATAAGTATGTTATTTATTTACAACGAGAAATTCTTCTTACAAAGGAATATTCCCAAGTGTTACATCGCGCTTTTGAGTCGATAGCACGAGCATTATATAGGTTCTAATGATCTATGAATATCTTGAAAAAAAATTCGTGCTGCTAGCTTAATGGTGCGGAGATATTACAATTGTACGGTATTTTTAAGCAGAAAGCTGTACTCCCCCACAGGAACATCAGAAAAACTGAGTTTCGAATTTTTACTTGAAACTTCGCATATAGATAGATCTCGATGAGAATAGTTTATTGTGAAAGTTTTAGATCTTTTGATTGTTTCTATCCTAAGATATGGCTATGATAAAATCGCTCACATATATGAGCAGATTTGATGCTCATATTTCAGGATAGAACAGAATTAAAAGATCTGAAATCTTCACAATAAACTATTCCTGTTAAGACCTATCTCTGTGCAAAGTTTTAAATCGAAATTTGAAAATTCATTTTTCTGAGGGGGACTACGGCATTTATTTTTAAGCAATACCGTAAAAATGCCATATCTCAGCACCAATAAGCTAGCAGCACGAACTTATTTCAGGGTATTCATAGATCATTAGGACCTATATAATGCTTATATTTTCGATCCAAAAGCGACGTAACACTTGGGAATGTTCCCTCGTTAGTTTATTGATGATGTTTTTTAAATGAATATCGTGATAACAGAAAAATTAATTATCGAATTTCCACTTGATCTTGCTATTACCTATCAAAAACTATTAGTGCAAGATTAAAATTCAGAAATATTATAAGGAGCTACTATTGATATACGATCGATGATTGTCTCTGGCGAGCTTCGGGATGCAGTCAGAAATTTTCCAACGGGAGCAGTGCACACCATAGGAAAATATTGTTTATCCAAACCCTCCTCCAGATGTTTTTGGCTAAGGAATGCACAAGCATCCCTTGTGACCTGGACTCGCGTCCGGGTTCGGTTACACATTTTTGCGGACCCGCTGCTTCCCAAATGAGAAATACAGTAACGAGATATAACAGTATGTTGAGCTATTTTTCTGAGAGTACTGAATAAATAGCTAAAATCTTGATATTTTACTTGTTCATGTATACAAAAGATGCCAGGTGTTGATGAAAAAAACCTCAGGTTTGGACCTGCAACTCTCTAATCACGGTCTGTGGAGGAAGGAGTTAGAAGTTGTATGTAAATTTCTACCCTATAGACTTCAACACTCTTTTTAGATCACATTTCAAAATGCTGTTACGTATTTGACATAATTTGTTTTTTGATTAGCGAGAAAGTTCGTTCAAATGCTGTTCGACGCAGCTTATCATACTGAGTTTCTTTTTTTGACTGAAGTCTCGAGCGGTTTTATCATCGTGTAATGTTGTTATTCATATAGATATGTGAAATATATAATTGAACATGAACAAATCTATTCTCGTGCACCAATTGAATTAAAACGTTTAATATGGACAGATAATCATACATTATTTCAAAAAGAACTTCAACCAATTATATCACAATATTTAACAAATGTTGAAGAACAATTATTACAATGTGATCATAATTATTTTCTTCAATTACCTAAACAACGTCGACAAACATCACCAACAATACAATCACTTGTTCATATGATTGGAACAAATATTAAATTATATGATATTGTACGAACAAGTTTACAAAAATTATTTCAACGTACGAAAATTGTTCATTATTCATCATTACGTTTATTATTATTAATGGCATTTCATGATTTAGAAAATAATATTGTTTCAAAATCAGATTCTATACATATATTTGTTTGGACACTTGATGCAGCATTAAAAGAAAGAAAATTAGATTTAAAAAAACAACGAGAAATTGAACAATTTTTAGATGCACATGCACGTGATACAGATATTATTAATAAACATATACCATTTGTACTTGCTGATCCAAATATTGTTTCAATATTAGCTAAATCATGTATTTTATTACTACATAAACAGGTTAGATTTGATCAAATTAATCATCTATGATTAACATAGATTTATTTAAGAAATTCATAAGCTTTTAACTAAAGAATAGAATATATGCAGATATATAGAAACAGATTTCATCGATCTAATATATTATCGAGTTCTACTGTACACCAGTTATGTGTTAATATGAATTGCCACGCCGAAGGTAGCATCACCTATCGACATGTCAACAGTACATTGTAGAACTTGATAATACGTACATCATTAAATAGATGAAGTGTTTCTCTATAAGCGTAAATACATTCTGATTCTGTAGCCAAAAACTTATACTCACCTTTGGTAGAGTATATGACTCGTACTCATAATTCAAAAAAATTTTATTCAAAATGCAGAAATCGTTTCTCTTACGATTGATTATCTTTAGAATACAACTAAAGACTTCTAGAGATTTTTCACTTTACATATTTTGTATTAGTATAAAACATAGTTCTCAAGTAGAGGAGGAGGAGGAACATCCCCCAAATGTGCGACTTTCGAAGAACGGACATGTTGTCTGTTGTAAGGAGAGTCGGTTCACGGTGGATTTCGCTCTTGCCATCTGGTCAGCATTCCAGAGATGAAAGAATTTTATGCCGAGGTTTTAGCCCTTTTCATCAGAGCTGGGTACAATACAATAACTATTAAGTCTAATATTATAAATACAAAAAACTAGAAACATCTAGACTTATTATTTTAATGACACATTCATCACACAGGCCAAACAATGCGACATATAAACAGACTGTATTCGATCAGAATAGTTGACGCAATTATGCGGCCGTGTCATAGTGAAATCATGGCACATCATACGGCTAAAATACGAACAGTAAACGGCTATAAAGTAGTCATTTTTTCATCGTTCATTGATGATAAACGGTATCCCGACTTTTTGATCAACCTAAGCACAAGAAATAAATATACAAAAGAAACAAACAATAAGAACTTGTGAAGTTTTATTATTCATTATGTTAATGTATAATGGATGTCTACTTCTCACTTATGAACATTGAGAAAATTAAGTTTAAGTAAAAATTAAATTGTTTTAAATTTTCGATTGATTTGAACTTAATAATTTTATTATTTTTCTATAAAACGATTAAATTTCATAGTTAAATTTTAGCAAAAAGTTAATTTCTTTTA